GAAGGAAGCCTTCTTTTTTGCCCTTTACTGTACATGGGACTCTTTCCCTGTCTCTGACATCATTTCATTTCTGACACTTTCAACATTCTCAAAACTCATTCACTTATTCACTTAATCAACTAAAAAGGTAAGGGTCTGGTTTGGTCAGAAGTGGAGATAATGGAACAAGAAACAGGGATTGGATAAGACTGAATGAGAATCTTGGGAATTTTTTACAGGTGACAGTTAATATTATGCTTTTCAGATTATGTTCTTGACATTCCCAAGTGATGCTGCCATGGTCCAAAGAATGCCAGGGTTTGCTAGCACCCAACAGAAATTAGAAAGAGGAAAGGAAAAATTCTTCTTTATAACCCTACTGACTTTAGATTTCTAAATTCCAGACTGGTGAAAGAATAAATTTCTATTGTTTTAAGTCACCTAGTTTGTGGTAGTTTATTACTGTAGCCTCAGGAAAGGAATATGCCAGCCTAGTATGTCACGGTGCCAAGATACTCTGGTGTGCTGCCTATGTGCATAGCAGCTAAGATAGTTGTTGAGAGCCACAGGCGAAGTGGCCCCAGCAAACTTCCAGCTGATTGGCTCACCAAGGCCTCAGCAAACTTCCAGCTGATTGGCTCCTCTGCGGTGATGCTCACTGGGCTGTTTCCCCGGCCCTTTCAGACCACGGAGCTGCTCATTGGGGGACTCTTTTGGCTCCACCCATGATGCCCAGCCAATCAGCTTCAAGAGTGGGAGGAGTGTGGGGTTGAGAGGCTTGTGGGAAGCCAGGAGAGGCTTGTGGGAAGCCAGTAGGGGCAGTTGGGCTCTGAGGGAATTCCTGAAGAGTTCCTGTAGTGCATAGTGTGTGTTCTAAAAATAAAGTTCGTTTGTGCTTGACAAGTGGCTCGTGAATTGTGCCCAGCCAGACTGCGGCAAGTGCACTTAGAAGTTGAGGTGGGGATGGAGACTATGCTGGGGAATGGGAAAGAAGGGGAGAATGGGCAGGGGTTCTTTTCCTTGAAAATATTGCCCAACTGTCATGTGGAGGCTCTGACCCAGAAATTAAGGCTCCAGTTTCAGCAGGTGGAAGAAGATGCAAGGAGTGGTGGGAATATTGGTCATTCTTTATTCGGAGGTGGCCATTAGCCAGCTCCCCAAGCTATTTTCATAGGCCTTTTTAAAATGTAACTAAAACAAAGAAGGTACACTGCTATAGGTAACATAAGGGGGTGGGGGTCAAGCATGCTCACAAGATCATGTTTATGACCTTGAGTCTATATGCTGAATCACAATCTTTCTGGCCTTGACTAACCATACATAGCTCGTTCCCAGGCCTGGCTACAGACTAAAATCAACATAGTCCACTGGAAGTCTTCAGCGAAAGAGCCTAACTACAGCCATTTGGGGGTCTGCCCCAACACCAACCTTCATTATATTTTGACCCTGTGAACTAGCAGAAAAAGAAAAATGAATTTGCTAATGAAGGAAGAAGGATGCATTAAAAAGTAAGGAGTGGGAACTGCAAAGCCAGCTACAAACTAGCTCTGTGATCAGGCACATGGTGTTCAGATGTGGTTGCTTTGAGTCATAACATAAAAAATACTGTTAACTTTCAACTGTAAAAAATTCCTAAGGTCTTCATTCAGTCTTATCTAATCCCTGTTCCTTATTCCATTACTTCCACTTCTGACCCAGACCAGACCCTTACATTTTAGTTGACTTCATGAATAAGTGAGTTAATATTGAGAGTGGAAGACTGAAGGCATCAGAAATGAAATGATGTCAGACAAGTAAAAAGTCAGATGTACAGTAAAAGGCAAGAAAAAAGACTCAAGAATCAGACTGGTCTATCATTAACATTTGGTAACTAAATGCCATAACAGAAGCAAATGTGACACTTACAATCTTGATTATGTGTTAAGGGTGTTTATAATATTATTCTTTATATTTTGGTAAGTTCGAAGTATTGGGTGCTTTGGATTGTCAGCATTCAAATCCCTTGCTTTAATGGGTTCTAAACCTTGTCTTTCATCAGCAAAGCTGATATGGTTGTAGCCAAACATTTCATTCCCACACATGAATAGACCAATACAGCCCTATGGGGAGAACCTGTGGAAATATACATGAGAAATTATAAACTATTAATTTTCCTGGACTCTGTACTCCTGCTCCTGGGCATTTTTGAAAGGGCAAAGATAATTATTACAAAAGAAAAGTTTGGGGACTATGTAGATGAATAATTCTATGCAAAGTTTTTTTTTAATCTGTGACAAATTTTTATAACAATAAATTAGAAATAATTTAAGGTACAAATAGAGAATGCGCATGATTCCTGCATCTGGTCATGCTACCCTTACCTCTGCCTGGATGGTTGTGGTAACCTGCAGCTGGTCCCTGCTACAACCGTGTTCCCTACAGTCTGCTCTCAACTCAAGCAGCTACCAGACACTTTCAAGATGAAATCAAATCTCCTCTCCACTTCTCTTCAAAGTATTCTCACCGCCTTCATAGCTACTATCTAGTCTGAACCACCACCTCCTGGGTCCTAAATTATAGCAATAGCTTTCTAACTAGCCTCCCTCTCCCACTTTCTTTCACCTCAACACATAAGTGAAAGTGCTTCTTCTCAAATGATAAATCGGATCATACCACTTCTCCGCTCAGAAGCCTCCAGTGGCTTCCCATCTGACTCAGAGTAAGCCTAAATGACTCAGAACACATCACAGTAAACTTTGACAGTGGCACACAGGAGTTCATCTCCTTCCCAGTCACACTGGAGAATTTTGTTGGCTGTTCCCTCTATTTAAAACACTCTTTCCTCATATGGCTCCATGTAACTTTTATAAAAAATTTCAAATGTCTACCTCTCCTGCCCCAAACATAACACATCCTAGAATATAAGTTCCACAGGGAAAGGGATTTTTATCCATTTATCACAGCTGTTTCCCAGTACTTAGAACATAGTTGACATTCAATAAATATTTGTTAAATGAAAGCACAATTGGTTAAATAAATTGAGTTACATCAAAATGATGGAAGATCAAGCAATCAGAAAAAGAGTTTTATGTATCAATGTGGAAAAAGACAATATAATGTAATATAATGTTAGTGTAAAGATCGAAGCTTATGGGCTGGGGATATGGTAGTGCGTTGGCCTGGCATGCGGGCGGGCCAGGTTCGATCCTCAGCACCACATACAAACAAAGGTGTTGTGTCTGCCGAAAATGAAAAAATAAATATTAAAATTCTCTCTCTCTCTCTTTTAAAAAAAATTAAGATCAAAGCTTTTGTTGTTATCAAAACTATATAGATATGGTTTTGGCAATGATGATCTTTTCTGGTTCTTTTGCTTTCATTTAAATATTGGGGCTGGATGTGAAGGTGTATGTTTCTAGTCCCATTGAGGTGAGAAACATGAAGAAGGATCACAAGTTCAAGATCAGTTTCAGCAACTTAGCAAGATCTTCAATAACTTAGCAAAACTCTGTCTCAAAATAAAAGTAAAAAGGACTGGTAAAGTAGCCCTGGGCTCAATGCCCAGTTCAAAAATAAATAAATAAACATTGGGATCCCCAAGTTTGTCCTTAGTCTCTTGTCAACTTAATCTACTTTGTAGCTTCCTATACCCTCTAGTTTATTACTAGTTTATTTAGTATTTTGTACAAACTACCTTAGGCCCTCTAGAGCTCCTTATCCATGTATATTTTATATACACTGCTGTTTGTTAGATGGTTAGTTATTTATTCATTAGTCTCCTTAAATAAAATGGAAAACCCTCATAGCATAAGATGCCTAGAACACATTAATAAGAAGTAATAAAAGAAAACAATAAAGAGTCCAATTGTGTGCCAAGTACCTCTAAGAACTTTGCATATACTCCCAGCTGCTCTGTGAAGTAAGCCTATCTCTGTTACACAGATTAATAAATGAGGAAAACTTATGCTTGTAATGAACAGTGACCAAAAAGTATGTAAGTGTTACATTAAGTTGTAAACTGAAGTTTTTTCAAAGAGGCCACATTTGTATTTGGGAGCTTTCAGGTTGTTTGAATCTTACTGATTGGATTATCTAGACCTGTGGAGAGACAAAGTACTATAAGAAGCTCAAGTTGTATTTGGATTATTTTAGGCTCCTTTGACTTGCCATTGTATCTGACCTAGCATTTCTGTGACTACTGGATAAATGTGTATGTGAAGCTTGACGGACCTCTGGCCTCTATTGAACATTATGGCTGGGAATGAGACAGTACCTGAATTTTGTAGGAGCTTTCCCTACTTTTTTGAAAGCTTCTGAATCTTGTGGAGGAGTTTCATGATGACACTACCTGCTTGGGGGGTCTAAAAGTTTGTATAATCTCTAAATAGAAGAACCATGTCCTTGGTAATCACTGTTCACGGGGAGCTCATGAGGTTAACTTGAGTACTTGAGTTTATGTTACCAGGGCATAGGCATTACCTGCGAATAAACCATTTACTTCCTTACAGCAGAGTTATTTTCTAAAGTTATTTGCTAAAGTGGTGGGATTGTAGCGGGTTTTTTTTTCTCCTCCAAAATTTCTTTAATTGTAGTTAAGCTGCGTGTGTGTGTGTGTGTGTGTGTGTATGTGTGTGCGCGCGCGTGTTTGTGCGTGGCCAAATAGTTGTAAAATTTAGACAATACAACAACAGGAACTCGCAGAGCAAAGTCTGGGAAAAGGGGAGGAACCCGAAGACAATGACACCCGAGATCAGACTCCACCAAAGCGAGCCCTCTGCGAAGGCGGGGAGTGCCCCCGGGGCTGAGCCGTGAGGGCCCAACCCACAGAAGATTCCTTATTGGGAGGCCACCCAACGCCTCACGCAAACGAACTGAGGAGGCGTGGCTTGAGGTGTAGTCGTCTATGGGCGGAACCACTCCGGAAGCTGGGGGGGGAGAGAAGGCGGTCGCTGATTGGCTGACGCAGAAGGGGCGGGCTCCACAAGACCCGCCTCTCCGAGGGGCGGTGTCTGCAAATGAGCCACTAGGAGAGGGAAGTTCTTCTGCCGCAAGGTTACGCTGGCGACGAGGTAGGTTAATAACGCCGTTGGCCCAGAGGCTGAGCCGGAAGCGCTACAGTTTGACCCCCTCCAAGTCCCTGCTTTTTAAGGGACGGCCCTCTTTCCCCCCGCCCCGATCTGCTCCACTTCCTCTCCGCCCCGGTTCCCGGAGGCGAAAGCCCCTGGTCAGGGCGGGGCGGCGCCGCGGAATCCCCCGGCCCCGGAAGAAGCGCCATCTCCCACCTCCGCCATGGAACCCACCGCGCTGTCCCTCACCGAAGAGGACCTGACTGAAGTGAAGAAGGACGTGAGTAGTACTACCTTGTCCCCTGGTGCGGTTGGGGGCGGGCTACAGTCCGGCGGGAGAGGAAAGCGGAAACCCGGAGTCGCAGGACGCGGAGGAGCCTCTTGGTAGAAAGAGCAGAAGTTCCACGCACTGGAGGACCGCAGCGAACCCTGTATTGTATTCAGGGACCTTGGTGGAAGTGGTGCCCAGTGACCAGTTACTCGACGTTTGAATCACTAAACGGAAGGCTTGGATTTTTAAACCTTGTCCAGCTGAGAGTTTGTTGACAGTCATCTTGCCCGTTACTCGCCTATTTCATGATTCTCCCCCCACCCCCTTTGCCACTGTGCTCTTGGAACTACATTATTAGCGAAATGGTTCAAGTTCTTCATTGAGTCAGACTGCCTAGGTTGCATTCTCACTCTAGAGCAAAAGCTGGACCAGATAAAAGATCCCATGCAGTGGAGCAAATACGTGAAACTCTTTTTGCAAAGGGGGCTGGGGACAGCTCAACAGCTGAAAGTGCAGCCAGGAATTCCCCTAGTAAGCTGACGCCCACATATTTAAATGGAGGTGGGGCGGGGGAGACGAATACGTGTAGCTCAGAATTAATTTAAAGGTAAACGTAGAAAATATTCAGTAGCCAAATTCTGCTGTTCTGCTTGGAAGAAGCAAGCAAATTACATGACACTTTGGGGCTGATAACGTGGTTCTAACGGTTTAAAAATTAAAACTGCACAAATCTAAATATTTAGTTTATTTAGGTATGACTTGTTTCCTTTTTATTTGCTTTTAATTAATTGTTTTATTAGATGAAGCATAAATACCACTGAAAAGTACTTTATATTCTAATTACTTTTACTAAATTATCTTTGCAAACTTGCTAGGACAGCAACTTTTTGAATGCTTATCCCACTTAAAATCCCTTTTTCTTCCCTCCTCTGTATTGTTTATTATACTATACTCATAATTAGAGTTGCTGTGACTCGTTAGCAGGAGGAAACTGGATGTGACTGGGGATTGTGCCTTAGTTTCCTCATTCACTGGAGATTTATGGAGCACTTATTGTGTGAAAAGTAGTGCCCTTTGGCCTAGAAGGCAAAAAATGAAGGCTAGGCCCATATTTTATATTCTAGTTGAGATAAGACTGGGATACTGAATTATTTTAAATAAGTATTGTCTTATTCAAGATGCCAGTAAAATCTGAGCTTGAAGAGCGAGGTTCATTATGTTCCAGATTCTTCATCACACAATTTTCAATTTTTCCACTTAGTCTTTACAACAACCTCTAAGGAAGATAATTGCTATTACCATTTTACAGCTCATAAAACAGGACCTGAAAGAGAAGTGAGAAAGTAACACCTGTGTACAAATACAGATGCAAAGAAGTACTTCCAGATCTTTGTAGCTCTCTTGTTGATTCATTAATGTTATCCATTTCCATAATTTCAACTTATACTTGTATTGGAAAATTATAACCTTGAGGAAACCTATGGATGAGTTTCAAGAGGTCTATGAAAAAACTTTTAGTTTTTCTTAGATATTTGTCATGTTTTCAAAATTGTTAATGAAAACTTGGAAAGTTTGAAAATCATCCTTTGCATATTTGACCTTCCTTCTCTCTCAACTCTAGGACCTTATTTCCAGTTGTCTACTGGAAATCTAGTTTTTATGTTCTACAGATTGCACACCTTTTATCATCAAGAGTTGAACTTTTTATTATCATCCTTCCCCCTAAGTTGCTTGCTGTTCCTTCTGTATTTTCTGTTTGATAAATGATATACATTTGTCCCTCTGAGGATAACTTTCTGTTATCTGAGGTTTTACTTTCTGTGGTTTCACTTGCCATCATCCAAAAGTATTTCATGGAAAATTTCAGAAATTCATATATTTTAAATTGGGCACTAAGTAGCATGGTGAAATCTTATACTATTTTGCTCCATCTAGCCAAGAGTGTGAGTCATCCCTTTGTCCAGATTATCTGTGCTGTGTACATTACCTGCCCATTTGTCACTCAGTAGCTGTCTCAGTCAAATTATCATGATATCACAGTGCTTGTGTATAGGATTTGGTACTGTCCAAGATTTCAGGCATTCACTGGAGTCTAGGGGTCTGGATTGGGGTCTGGTCCTCCCAGGAGCTCCCATATCTTCACTATCTCTTCCTCCCCCTCTTCCTCATCTAGTTATTTACCTTATCTTTTTGGTTGAATTTAATTCATCTTAATAAATACAAATTACATGACACTTTGAGGCTTATCATTATCAGTTGGTTCTAAACAGAAAATTAAAATTTAAGACACGCTTTTAATTTTAAAAGAGCTCAATTTCTTGGGGGAAGGGATATAGACATAAAATGATTATTTTAAGTCACAAAATACGTGTGCAGTGAATTTTACGTTTATCTAAAACACAGTGTGGCACTCTGTAAGTACAGGATATTTAATATTGAACAAAATATACCTGGTTCTTGCCTGTTTTAAACATATAGTTCATTAGAGTAGAAAATATATATGTATGTATTTACAAATTATGTTAAGTGCTATGAAGGAGACAAACTGGTGCTGAGACAGTAACAGGAAATCTGCTTGAGATATCATGGTCATTGGATATTATATTTAAACTGAGTCCTAAAGAACTCAGTATGACAGAACTAGGGGAAAACATTCTAGGCAGAATAGAATTTGATACAGACTTAAAACAGGCAAGACCTTGGTGGACTTGAGAATATTATAAGAAGGCAAAGGGTAGCCTGAGGTGACGTTAAGCATGTGTCCAGAGCCAATTCATGTTAAGACTCCTCTACCTATTCTGTGGGCTTGAGAACAAGAGTAAGAGTAGGGAAACCAGTGAAGAGACTCCTGGAGTTTGTATAGATGAAAAATGATGGTGGTTTGGATCATGGTAAGGGCAATGGAAATAGATGGAGCACAGTTCCAGGTGCATTTTTGAAACAAATGATAAATTGAATATGAGAATTGGGAGAGTGGAATCAAGATTAGTCAGGGGATATGTCAAGCCAATTAGATCCACCAAGTCTAAAGGTCAGAAACGAGGTCTAAGGTAGAAATAAAAGTATGGAATTGATTGATTTCACTTAGGAAGTTGAGTGCTAAAAGACAAAAGGGTTTTCTAAGACCCTTTAAAAAGAATGTGAAAAACTAGCAGTTAAGCCTTAGAGATTGAGTGTAGTATTCATGTAAGACAAGAATTATGTTTCAAGGAGGGAGTGGTCAACTGTGTTCATGCTGCTGAGAAGATGAAGATGAAAAAGGAACTGATTTGGTAATAAGAACATCATTGGTGGCTTTGAGAAGAATAATAGAAATGTCTGAGGATGAACTGGAGATGAGGTAAAAAAAAAAAAAAAAAGAGACCTGATATATAGAAAAGTGAAATATAGTCACAAGGTACTACAAAGACAGAGGAGAGGGGTATCTGTCAAATCCTGGGGAATTAAGGAA